TCCATTTCCCACCTTCAGCTCTCAGACCAATCCAGTATCCATTTTCTCCTGAACTCTTCCAGCTTTTGTCACTGATATATTTCTGATGAAAGAGAAAGTTATCAGAAATACTCAAATTAGTTTGAGTATTTAGATCGTTTGCTTAAAACACTGCGACACAGAGTGTATTTAGATCAAAAGAAAATGTATTTTTGTTAAATAAATTTGTGCTAATGAGCCACAGTTCTTATTACCTTTTCTGTTGCATTAATTACAACAGCCAAATCGGAAATCTTTCCTTTGCAGTTTTCTTGAGCTTCTTCCCAGGTTTTCTTCTCACCAAGTTCAGCATCATTAATTGCATAGCAGTTTGACTCAAAGTGGAGCCAGCCCTCCTGACAAGTGTTGCAAACCTTTTCTGCATGTAAAAAAAGAAAAAAAAAAAAGAAAAAAAAGAAAAAAGTAAAAATCAATTAATAAAGATCACCAGTGCACATTTATTTGACATGACCTATTTTTGTAGCTGATAGATTTGGAGCCTACTGTTATTTTCTTCGGGACAGTAGGCATCAACACTGCACTGACCTGGACCAAGACTGAGCTCCATCTTCATGAGTTTTATTTGTTCTGTTAGGTTCTGGTTTTCTGCAATGAGGTCTCTGATCTGTGTTTCAAAGGCAGTGGAGGTGTTTGTCCAGTTGAGTTGACTCCTCAATAAGTCTTTGTTCTTATGAATTAACAATGTGGTAACTGAAAAACAAAACGTAACACTTCTTTGGCTTTACACACACATTGCAGATGAACTAATTTTGAAAGTTATACTCACAATAGATGCGAAGGGCCATGATCAGTAACAGAATACCCCAGCAAATGGTTACTGATGTACAAGATTTTATACATGCACACTGCTTATCTAGGAGAAAAAAATACTTATTATAGCAATCAAAGTCATTCTTGCGTTTAAGATTTTAAATTGCTTGTGTCAACTTAAAATCATTAATTGGCTTTTTATAATCATAAAACCATTCTAATTAATGAACTTTTTAAATTATTGTCTAGGGAAAAACAGAAAAATCTGTTTGAAAAAGTTCAGAGACAAAACCAAGGTGAAGCCCATATTATGGATCAAACTTCAATAACAGTGAATCCTGTACATATCAAAATGTGATTTGAGAGGATGTTGTCATTAAGCTCTTGTATGGAAAATGCCAACAGCACACTTCCAGTTTCTAAGTAAGTTTCATATCAGTTCCTGTCGTAAAAGTAGCAGTTTTGTATTGTCTTTGTATAACTCACCATTTGTGTCAGATGGTTGTTTAGTTCCTTTGTTTTTCACGTTCATTTCTTCATATAAATTGTCTTCCTGCTTTCGTACTGAAAGACTTAAAGGGTAACCTTGTAGCAGAAGACAAAGAATGATTTCATGGCAAGAAAAAAAAGGTAGTCAATGTGAATAATTTGGTGGATGTCAAGTCTAGTTTGTTAGTTAAAGTGACTAACAAAAAAAACTATTGTTTTTCTGTTGAGGTCACTGTCATTTGCAGATTATGAGGCACCAAATTTTCTACCCTTCCAGTTTGTAAGACAGGCTGCTTAGTACTTTGCATGATGCCTTGTAATAAAAGTAGTGGTTTTGCATTTGCTTTGTATAACTCACCATTTGTGTCAGAAGTTCGTTTAGTTTCTTTATTTTTCATGTTCATTTCTTCAAACAGGCTGTTTTCCTTCGTTTTAACTGAAAGAATTGAATGACAATGTTGTAACAGAAGACAAAGACTGTTTAAATGGCAGGTAAAAAAGAAATGCCTGGTTAAGAAAGGTTAGTTAATCTGAGTAATATGATTTGTTTTGTTGGTTAAAGGGTATTTGGAATTAATTAGTTACTAAGTAACCACAATTTTCCAAAGCATATTTTGATTATTTGCAATGCACAAAAGTTTTTGATTGTTTGTTGAGGTTTAGATCCTCACCTTGCATTATCAAGGGAAATTTTGTCTTTTGTGCAAGCACTTTTAGTAAGCTCAACATCTTACTTGTCTTTTGTCAGGGTTTTTTTTTGCATTTACTATTACAGTAAAAAAACAGTAAAAGAAATGTACTGAAATGATTAAAACATAAAGATCTAGGCTTTCATCTACATGATTTACAACCTGAGTTTGAAAATAGCTTTTGTTGATTGACTGTATTTCTTTTGACAGTTTTATTTATAATTTTCCATTAAAAAAAAAATAGAAAAGTTTACCTGGAGTTGCGATTACAAACATTGGCTTTGCAGGGATGCAGGAAAATGTATAATATATGCACACAAACAAGAATTACTACTATGTGAACAAGTCTGTCAAAGACAACCGTGTCTGTCTTTGGACAAGAAGTCCACCTTTGTATCCTGCAGCATGCTATGTATTTGAGTGATATATATATATAGATATATAAATATATATATAAATTGCAGACAGTCCTCAAGCAGACAATCAGTAGGTAGATTTGGATAAGAAGTGAAATGTTTAACTGCAAAGCTATGGACTTTTAGGTATCTAAAGAAGTGAGTCTTTGGGATTCCAAAATCTTTAGATAACATTTCAAAAGGTAAAAATGATCCTTTAACAAACAAATTTAGAGAAACAGATAATTCCCCTACTGCACCAAACCTCAAACCCTGCATCTGGTAAAAAGCTGGTAAAAGCTGGTAAAAAAAAAGTTGACTTGACGCAATAGGGGAGCAGACAAGCGATCACCCCAGACCAAAATGTTGTCGACACTGAAACCAAACATTAAGAGAGTTTTTAACCACAGGATTTTTAAAATTAACATTGCGACTGACTGGTAGGCTTGAACACATTATTCCAACAAGGGATGTAGTGAGATTTCCATGTAGCTCCATGGTGGACCAAAGTGGCTCAGTGCCTTCCCTAAAAGCTCACATCCAGGTGGATAAGTTCACAATATTGGCAGACCAATAATAATACATAACGTTTGGTAGGGCCAAGCCCCCTTCCGACTTAGCACATTGTAAAAGGGGTTTACGGATTCTTGGAACTTTTTTGTCTCAAATGAAAGATGATATGAGTCCATCTAAATGGTTGAAAAAGGTTTATCATCTGGAAGAGATACATGAATCGAGGCAGGACTAACATTTTAATATTGCCGACCCGCTGAGCAAAAGAGATGGGTGATACTAACCAGCGTGCCAAATCTGATTTTGTTTTCTCTAATATAGGGGTAAATTTTTGTCTAAAAAGGTGAATAAGGAGTGTTTCAATGTAAAATGAAAGGTTGTGTAATCAGCCTCCTTTGCAGATGATTAATAGGAAACAGTGTACTTTTAGCTAGGGTTAATCTTTAACCAGACAGACGGCCAAAAGATCCAATGAGGTCCAGAGCTGAAGGATTTGATGCCTCTGGGTCTGCAATGTACAAAAGGAGGTCATCTGCATACAAAGAGCACTTGTGAATAGTATTTCTCCTGGTGATCCCACTTATTTTTGCTCCCAATGCTGCCGTCTTTCATGGTGAATGTGCTGTGTGAAGGCAAGCAGGGAAGGACCCAAATGCAGGACTAACGGAGGCAGTGACTTAATTTGCTGGCAAGGGAAAAGCATACAAAACAAAACTATACTAGGAGATCTAAGATCAGGAGGAAGCACCGGGAGAGTAACACACAGCAATAAGAGACGATACGACTCTGAACACTGGAGGATAAATACACAGACATGACAAAAATAAAAATCTGGATCTCCAGACAGGAGTACAAGAGTCCAAAAACACCTCTGGAGACCAAAAGCACAAAATCCATAATTCAGTAGTTCAGATGGTCAACCCGGGAGACGGCAGCACAGAACTCTAAAGTCCAGACGTTCCAGGGGCCGACTGCATGGAAAGCAGAAGCGGCCTGGACACAGGAGAGAGGTCGACCACATGAAAGGCAGTGGCGGCGACAGAGCAGGTCTGGAAGCCGGCCGAGTGGAAGGCGGCAGAAACAAAACAGATCCGGAGGCCGGCTGCGTGGAAGGCGGCGGTGGTAACACAGGTCTGAAGGCTGTCTGGACCAGTGAAAAAGTCCAGCCAGAAGACAGGAAGGTGGCCACCCACGCCGAGCTAGACATGGTCGAGGTGGTGCCATGGCAACCGCTGGACCAGATGAGGCAGGACCAGGACTAGGACCAGACAGAATGGAGTCCTGTGGCTAAGACAAAGCACTTGGATAAAACTGTTCTCCTGAACCGCCAACTAACGTGGCGTGATGCTGGCCAGGTTCTCCAGAACCCCCAGCTGACTTGGGTTGATGCTGGCTGGGCTCTCCAGAACTCCCAGCTGACGTGGCTTGATGCTGGCTGGGCTCTCCAGAACCCCCAGCTAACTTGACATGATGCTGGCTGGGTTCTCATAAACCCCCAGCTGGAACAGACAAACGGCCAGATGGTACGGAAACCCCCTGGCTGAGGTGAAGTTAGTTTGAGCTGCGTGAGACAGACACCCAGCTCGGGCTGCAGCCTGAAAAGCAGATGGGACATCATGTACACAGATGGCTGAGTACATGACTGCACTGGTGACTGAACTAATGAGTGACCTGGAGACAGAGTTGATGTCTGAGCCAAGAACTGAACAAGTAACTGGGCGGGTGACAATGCAGGAGCCTGAACCAGTGACAAAGCTTATGACTGAGCTACTAACAGAACTACTGACTGAGCTAGGACTGCAATAAAGGTTGTAGTGATGGTGTTAGTGATGGTGGTAGTGATGGTTGTTACGAATTTGCATTTTATGTGTTTATTTTGTGCAGTCAATGTATCTGTTTGTTCTTTCAGCTGCGCCAGGGCCCTGCTTCGATTGGTGCGTGGATGTACAACTCCGTCGTGACTGGTTCCAGCAGCAGGACCCGCCCGTTAAAATGAGGCTGTAATGCCGCGGCGGGGGAGGTTCTCGCATTTCTCCTCATGACCCAGCAGTATACCTGTGGCAGCCGCTGACTGCAGTGCTATCTTGACAGTTGTGGAAGTGGAATGGGTAGGGGTGAGCTGCTGTTTCTTTTGATCACCAGTTTTCTCCTGTTTTGAATTAGTTGAGGTGGTTAGACGCAGTCTTTATTTATGGTTTTTGTTTTGGTTAGGTCAGTGGTGTGCGAATCAGTTTAGATTTGTTTTGTTTATTATCTTGGCCTTGGCTCACCCTGAAGTGTTGACACGCCTGCTTTGTTGTCCCTCTTTTTATCACTTTGTAAATAAATCACATTATAAAGAATGGATTTGCTTCCTGTCGCTGATTGGGTCTTGGGGGGGTCTCACTCATGTTATTGCCTGGCCCTAGACAGGTTGTAACATGGTGGTAGTGATAGTGAAGGGGGGCCACCAGAGTCCTTAAATGTCCTGGGGGAACAGACAATCTCTTCCCTCAGAGAGACTAAGTTACGACCTGTAACTGTTAGGTGTGGCTGTGTGCAGACAGGAATAGGACCCAAGGTGCAGACTCCAGAGACAGAACTTAAACCAAAACAGCTTTAATGCTGAACGCAAACATCATATAACTAGAAAAAACTCAAAATAAACTTACACCGGTGGATGAGCAAAACACACAGCAAAGTAAACGGTAGATCGCGACACAGACACCAAGAAACACAGGGCTTAAATACACAGAGGGAGCAATCAGGGAATGGGTAACAGGAGGGAAACACAGCTGGGGCAAATCAGGCCTAACGAGACAAGGGGGAAGCAAAACCAGACACATTAACATCAGACATGGACTTTCAAAGTAAAACAGGAAACATAACACAGACTCACGGGCAGGCACTAAAACAAAGGGAACAGAGACGTGGGAACAGGGCAGACACAAACACTGACTGAACACGGGGATATAGGAACTAAAGATACACATAGACGCAAACTAGACAAGGGGATGCAGGTGATAGGGGAGACAGAGCAACTAAAGAAGACAGAGACCTAAGCCGTAAGACAGAACTTAAAGAAACCAAAAACTAGAAAGTATAAATAATATCATAAACTCAAAAACCCTGGGTCGACGACCCAGGCATCCTAACAGTAACCTCCGTCCCTACCAACCGCTTGGGCCCCTGCTGAGAAACAAGAGAATCCAAGTCCGACTCTGGATAATCAGTGCAGGAAGTATAGAGATCCTGATCAAATAGCTTGAAAGCAGCATTAATTCCGTCAGGGTGTGTTACTATCTTACCTGTGTCTAACTGTAAGTGCGGTATAGATTGGGCTGTAGTGGATTGACGAAGCTGATGTGAAAAGATGATGTTTTTTCACAATGCTCGTATACATGATGTCTTTATCTAAGTGAAAAGCTTCTTGGTTTTTTTTAATTGAGAGGGTGTCAAATTCAGACTGAAGCAGT